CTCTCATCCCCATCCCTGCTGCTCCGTGCTCCCATCCCCATCCCTACTGTACCGTGCTCCAACCCCATCCTGCTGCACCGTGCTCCATCCCCATCCTGCTGCTCCATGCTCCCATCCCCACCCCTGCTGCACCGTGCTCCATCTCCATCCCCACTGCACCGTGCTCCATCCCCATCCCTGCTGCTCCATGCTCCCATCCCCATCCCTGCTGCTCCGTGCTCCCATCTCCATCCCTATCCCTGATGCCCTGTGCTCCTATCCCCATCCCTGCAGCATGTGCCCGCCTGTCCCCGTCCCCATCCCCACTGCACCCTGCCCCTGTCCCCACTGCACTACACTCACCTGTGCCCACCCCGCTGCACTGCGCTCCTGTCTCCATCCCTATCCCTGTTCCCATCCTCATTCCACGTGCCCATCCCTGCTGTACCATGTTCTTGTCCCCATTCCCACTGCACCGCGATCCTGTCTCCATCCCTGCCCACCCAGCACAGTGCCCCTGTCCTGTCCCTGTCCCCATGCCCGCTGCACCGCGCTCCCATCCCTGTCCTGTCCCTACCGCACCGTGCTCCCGTCCCCATCCCCATCCCCACTGCGCCAAGCTCCTGTCCCCATCCCCAGCGCACGGCACTGGCTCCTACCTGGCCCCTGGGTGCCCATGCCGGGCGGCTGCTGGTCGTGCAGGCTCTGGCTGTCCACCGAGATGCCGCTGTCACTGTGCAGCTTCTCGCCCTCGGGCGACGGCGTCTGGTTGACGGGGCGGTTGTTGGCGCCCTGTTTGTTCTGCTTGCAGCTGTTCCACCTGCGCCAGGCGGAGGGGTGAGCGCCAGCTCTGCTCCCCCCTTCCCCAGGCTCCATCCCATGTGCTCCATCCCCCTCCAATTTGGGACGTGTACCCGCCCACGCACCTGGCAAAGGCCCTGGCGCRGGTGAGGGCTGATGCTCACACGCATGGGAGAAATGCTGGTTGCACCAAGCCAGGGGGGACCTGCCACCCACGGGACCACCCCTCTTGCACCCCAGTGACACCCCCCGCCGGAGCCCTGGCTCTACCTTTTGAAGACGATGTAGGCCACGAGCCCCACCACCACGGCCGCCAGGATGGAGCAGTAGACGGGGATGAGGTTGTCGGCGGTGCCGTGGCTCACGACGGGCTGCGAGCTGCCCATGACGGTGGTGGCGGCGTCGGCCGCGGTGCTGGCGGCCGGCTCGGCGCTGGGCGGCTCCCACGTGGCCGGCTCGGGGCTCTCGGAGCCGCCCGGCACCGGGGTCTGCGTGGTCCAGCGCGGGTGCAGGTCTGCAGGGCACAAGCAAGAGCTGCATCCCGGGCCAGCAGGGATGGACGGGAGCGGCTCGGGAGCGGGATGCTGCCTTGCCAAGCGCCGCGGGGCAGCTGGCACCGGGTGCCCCGTGCCCTTTGGCAGCAGCGCCGAGCGCGTGGGCACAAACAAAGCACGGCCTGTGCTCCGCCGCTCGTGCCTGCATGGAGCCGACCAGGCACAGGGCAGCCAGGAGGAGCTGCCCTGGCTCCCCTTGMAGCCGCCCTCGGTCTGTGCCTGCGCCCGGGGTCCACCCGCGCAGCCGGGGCTCGTTAGCACCCCGGCAYCGTTAGCACATCCTGCTCAGTGCCCCTGCACACCCCTGGGATGGGCAGAGCGCAGGAAAGGGGAGAATTCCCAGCTGGTTTCCCATGCAGCCCAGTGCGCTGCAGGGACTTAAGGAGATGGGAGGGGTGCCAGGACTCCTGGGCCCCCCAGGGGTTTGCGAGTGCCGGGACGGGGCGCAGCGTCACCTCTGCACTCGGCGTCCGAGGTGGCCGTGCACTCCTTGAGCAGCACCTCGTTGTCCTCGCAGATGGTGCAGGGCAGGCAGGGGTCCACGAAGTTGGCCTCGTCCGAGAAGGTGCCCTCGGGACACTCCTCGCACACGGTGTCCTGCGTGTCGACGCACGGGAAGACGAGGCCGAAGCCCGGCTCGCAGAGGCGGCACTCGCGGCAGCCGCCGCTCGCCTCGTCCTGGAAGTAGCCGTAGGCGCAGCGGCACACGGCGTCGTCCGACTCCACGCACGGCGCCGACATGCTCTGCAGCCCCACGCACTGCGTGCACGGCTTGCACGGCTCCGTGGCGCTCACCGTGTCCGAGTAGGTCACGCCTGGGGGGCAGASCGCGCCGTGAGCCCTGGCCCCGCTCCTGGGTCCCCATCCCGCTCCCCATCCCGTTTCCCATCCTGCTCCCCATCCCATTTTCCAACCCCACGCTGTGCCAGGGCGTGGGGACATGGGCAGGAGYGGGGCGAGCATCACTCACTGCACCATTTACCCCAATTCCAGAGCTAGGGATGCCCCACATGGAGCCTCCTCCACCTGCAGGGATCTGTCCCCTCCCTCCCTGTTAACACGCAYTCCCTTTCCATGGCGCAGCAAATCCCTGTGGATCTGGCCCTGGAATCGCACTCCCTCTCAGCATCCCCACGGATCCGGCTGCTCCGCATCCCACCGGCAGCTGCAGCCGCATCTGTTTCCCGTGGCACCTGCYGGGGGCGGCAGGACACGAACGGGAGGCTGCGGCGCTAATTGCTGCCGCCCCCTGACCCCCGGCGGCTCCTTCTCCGGTTTCGCGGCACCCGGCAGGATTGATGCTGCCGCGTAAATCAATCCCGCTGCCGCAGCCCCCGCTCCCGCCGCGGCCCCCGGGGGCTTTCGGAGCTATTTTCAGCCCCGGAAAGAGGGTTCGACTCCGGTGCTGGAGGGCACGACCGCTGCCTCCCCATCTGTGCCCTCGGCCCCGTCGAGGACGCCGGATTCCGGTCCTGGTGCCCGGGGACACTGGCTGGATGCCCCCATCCGCACGCAGGGATGCTGGGGTGATGCTCCCAAGCTGCATGAGGATCCCCATCCCTGTTCCGGTGGGATGCAGGAGGGCTGTCTGCACTGCCAGGGGGATGTGCACGACCTCCGCCCCATGATGCTTTAATGCCTGATTTTGACTGTTCTCCAGGGAAAGGAGGGTCCGTTCTGTTCCCTGGAGCACCGAGGCRGCCGGGACAGCCGGAACATTCCCCCCATTCTCCTGTTCCTCCTGCCCTGTATCCTGCTCCTTCCCAGGGCTGGCAGCCCCTCTGCACGGAGCAGCCCCCCGCACCCCATCCTCACCCCGACCCCGCACCCCCGGCGCGTGCAGCGCCCATTAACCTGCGCTCAGCCCTTACATTATTCTGAATTATTGATAGGTGCCATTAGCGTGGGGAAGTGGCCAGGAAAGGCATATGGCTGAGTGGGCACATTTTCAGTGGCAGCAAAAGGTATCCGAGCTGAGCAATTACAGCCGCGCTGCAAACGGGGCCGCCGGGGCTGGGGAGCTGCATAAATAAATCACGAGGCAGCAATCAGGGACGGCTGGGGGGGGCGGGAAAGAGGAAAATAGTAATAACGATAAAAAAAATGCAATGGTCCTTTGGGTTTGTACAGAGCCCGAGGGGTTTGGAGCCGGGGCGGTGCCTTCRCAGGAGCAAATTTTTGTAAATAAATCTGGGTGGTGAATCGGGAAGAAATGCGGAGCCCCGGGCGGAGGTGGAGGCTGGCGGACGGCCGGGCTCTGCCCCAGCTCCCGCGGGGACCCCGAGGGGGGTCTCCCCGCCCTGGCAGGGCCTTGGGGTGGCCAGGGCCATGTGGGGCACAACTGGGGCGGTATCTGCCCCTTTGGGGGGGGCATAGCTCGGGGTCCCCCCCCAGGCCACCCAGCGATGCCTCTTCTTAGGCAGGGGGGATGCGAAGAGGCGATGGGGATTAATTTGCACCAGGATTAATGACCGACGAACAGCAGTGGCTGAGCCCGAGGATCAAACAGCGTGTGGGGAGCAGTGCCCTGTGTACAGGAGCTGCTGCTGGGGTGTCTGGGATGCCCTGCACCCCCTGAGCCCTGTGTGGGTGCTGGGGACCCCGCACGGGGCTCCCAGGCTCCTCCTGACTCAGCACGGAGCCCTAATCCCAGTGCGGAGCGTGAAGGCGGCCCCGGGTGAGGACCGCTCGGGATGCAGCCGGGTGCCGGTGCCGCCGTCCCCGGCCCTGCACCATCCAGATCACAGTCCCACTCTCCCATCCATCCCACGTCCCCCTGAGGGGCTGGAAACTCCCGGCCACCCTCTGCCTTCCAGAAGGGCCGAGGGGTCAATGAGCCATCTGGTGCCTGGAAGCACTGGGGATGGTTCCGGGAAGGGATGAAGCAACCTCCATTCCCAGCCCCGCGGCTCCGGCCCCACAGCACGAGCRGTGCAGTGGGGTGAGCTGTGCAGGACGGCAGCCGCGCGCGCGGGGCCGGATCGCGTCCCGGTGCCGGGATGCTCCAGCCCCGGATGAGCTCGTGCGGCAGCCCCAAGGTTACAGGCAGGCGTGTTTGCAGCGTGAGCGCCGCGCATCGATTTTGCAGGGAGGCAGAGGTATTTTTAGTGCTTCCCTGACACCCTGCTCCTGTCCCTGCTCCGTGTCAGCACCGCTCCGACTTTCTGGCAGCTCTTTGGCTCTTGGGACCCCAAATCCAGCAGCCGGGGCTTGCCAGGACCCCCAGACCCATTCCSTTCCCCATCTTGGTGCAACCCTCCAGTACGCTGGGCTTCTTTGGCAAAGGAACAGTGGGTTGGAAGGGCAGAAGTGGGATGTGGGATGTGTTGGGATGAAGGGCTGGGCAGAGAGCGGCTTGTGCTGTGCGGGTATCTTGTGGCTTGGGAAAGATGCTGGCAGCCACCCCATGTCCAGGGATGCTCAGGAGGAGCTTTGCAGTCTGTGAAGACCACACGTGACACAGCCACCACATGCCCTGGGCTTGGGGACTGTCACTGAGAGCACGCGAGGAGAGGGGACGATGAGGGCTCGGCGGAGGGGCAGGGGCTGCTCTACTCACTGTCCAGGCAGGGCTCGCAGAYGGTCTGGTTGAGCCCGCAGGGCTGCACGACGCCCTCGCCCAGATTGCAGGGCTTGCAGCACTCGCCGCTCGCCGTGTACATCTTGCTGAARCACTTGTCCTTGGAGCCCCAGGCAGGTCCCTGCGAGACAGAGAGAGCAGAGCCCGGAGGCGACTCGTGTTTGGGACTCAAAATCACAGTCCCCATGATGGGAAGGGCTTTGAACAGAGCCCTGAGACCCTTAAGACATTATTGCCAAGTGAGCATGTTTGCTTWCAAAGTAATATATGTCCTGATGTCACTCATGGAAGCAATAAGTCTGCTGCTGGGGCATCTCAGCAGGTGCAGTTGGCAGCTCMGGGTGCGTTTGTGGACCAGCTAGTCTGCTAAGCAACTCTGGGCCTGAGTTTTGCCATTTTTCTTTCTTTCTTTCTTTCCTTTTTTTTTCTTTTTTCCTCCCCCGTGCCACAGCCAAGGCCACGTTTGTGCCAAGGGCGGGAGACGCCGGCGGCTTCGCAGGAAGCAGCACAAGCCGCTGCCTGCCCGGTGCCAGGCGGAGCCCCCTCCCCGCGCCTCCGGCTGCCTCCTCGCCCAGCGCCGGCTCGCCACTCGGCTCCGGTTATGAACTCGGCTCCCGCATCATCCGGCCCAGCCGGAGACAACGCAGCGCCAATTATAGGCATCTGAATGACAAAGTGCTCCAATTACCCTGCGCTTGAAAGCCTGGGCGCTGGTGCGGCCAGYGCGGGGCTGGCAGCTGCCCGCGGGGTCCCAGCTGCTCCGGTGYGGAGGAGGTGGGGGGGTCCAGCACCCCCCAACGACAGCGGGTTTGCTTTGCACAGCTGGATGCCTTTCCCCATGGGAACCACCCTGCTCGGCTGGGGCTTGTACGCGGCTCCTCCTGGCTAGTGCTGGCCCCGGGTTGCGAGTGTGTGTCCCCCCCCCCCCAACACGATGTCGCCGCGATGGGGGGCGGGTCCTGGCAGCCCCCGTGCAGGGGAGGGGGCGGCAGCTGGAGCGGAGGGGGGTCCCAGCCTTGCCTCGCTATAAATAGTGCCGGGAGGCAGCGCAGCTGGGGCCGGCGCTCCCACGGCCTCCGGGCGGGCGGCCAGGGGCGACCCCCCCCCGGCCACCCCTCCGCAGCCGCCCCCACCCCGGGACACCCTCTCGCTGCCTGTTTCCCCACGTTACATCCCCCGGGATGGCGRAGCAGCCGCTGCCGCTCCCCCCACGTCGGGTCTCCCCACGTCGCGTTACTGAACGGCGTGGAAAATGCGACTTGCAGCCCCGGGGGCTGCAATCCACACCCCCACACCCCCCGCCGCGATTCCCCTCCAGTCGGCAGCTCCGGTCCCTAAGCCCCGTAACGCGCCCRCCCGCGGGGCACCTGGTCCGTATTAACCCGCAGAAATGTGCGCGTTATTAACGCACCTCCCGGTGACAAAGCCKCGGGTATTAACACCATAAAGCATTTTGACAGCTGGACCGGGGCAGGGGGACGGTCGCAACACCTTGGATAACTTTTAATTGCTCCGCGAGACCCCTTGGTGCGGCTGGGCTCTCGGAGCAGAGTGAGGCGACGAGGATGCCCGAGGGGGAACGAGGATGCCCGGGCCCGGGGGGGACTCGGGGGGGCAGCCGGGCTCCCTCGTGCCCCATCCCGGCCGCCCTGCTCCCGGCGCTGGATGCACTTGGCAGGTCTAGGGGCACATCCAGCCCTAAGTGCAGCAGGCGACAAACAGCTGCCGGCCGAGGCGGCGCCCAGCCCGGACGAGGGGTGATGGCCACAGGAGACCCCCTTCCAACTTGGGGCTCTGCGCAGGGAGCGGCTGAAGCAGCCGGGTTCATACGCGCTCCGGGAGGGTCCTGCTGCCTCCRGGAGGAACCGGCACCGGCCTCCCGGCCCGCGTAGGGCTGCGCATCCCGGGCGGCAAGAGCGGGGCTGCCTCCGCTTGCCGGGGGGCGTGGGGCGGACGGGGGTTTCCCTTGGGGAGAGCGGGACGGGCAGGGCAGGTTTGGAGACAGTGGAGAGGGGTAGATTGGGACAGCAGGGCGAGGGCTGCCCTTGGTCCCTTCCTTCGCATCAGCCCTCCCGGGGACCAAGGGGCTCCTGATCCGGCGGCACCGGGCGGCTCCGCATCGGCGGCCGCCCCCGCGGGCCCCTCCGCACCCCGGCGCTCTCCGGCCGTGGGCGCCCCGTGCCCGGTTCCCCGCGGCGGGCTCCGTCCCGGCACTCACCGGCGGCAGCAGCAGCGGCAGCAGCAGCGGCAGGAGCCCGGCCATGGTCCCCGCGGCGGCGGCGCCGCCTCACATGCCCCCGAGCAGCGGTGCCGCGGCCGCGCTGCCTCCGTCTGCCCGCCCGCCGCCCCGACGCGCCGAAAAAGGGCCCGCAAGTCCCTCCTCCTGCCGCCTTCCTCCTCCCCCACTCCTCTTCCTCCTCCTCCTGCTCTTCTCCACCCTCAGCATCCAGCACCCTCCTTTCCACCCCCCCAGCAGCCCCGGCCACCGCCTTTGGTTGCCCATGCTGCACCTGCCCGCAGCCGGACTCGATCACCTCTCTCCTCCATCCATCCATCCATCCATCCATCCATCCATCCATCCATCCGTCCATCCGTCCATCCGTCCATCCGTCCATCCGTCCATCCGACCCCGTCCATCTTCTCCAGCTCCGTCCCTCCAACAGCCGCTGTCTTGGCAATTTGCTATAGTCCAATGCACTGAGATGCTCTGGAGGGCTGAGGCCAGGACGGGAGGACTCCCTGGGGACACCCCCATGGTGCTAAGGGAATGGCATGGGTTCCTACAGAGCCTCCCTCTCCTGCCAGCCTCTCTCCTCTGCCCCTGCCTTCCTAGTTCCTTAAAAGACACCTCTGTCCTTCGCATCCTGCAGCGAGGGGTTAAACTGCACAGGGAGGTGAGAGGGTTGAAATGTCCCAACCCTCAGGCTCAGCTTGGCACTGGGGCCAGACGTGCTGCTTATGGGGCTGCCTGCACCACTGATGGGTTTTGCTGTCCCAGAGGTGCAGGGGATGCTCTGAGATGGCTCCAGTGGCTGGGGCAGGGATGGAGGAGGGTCCCTCACTGTCAGAGCCTTTGTCTTAATTAAAATTAACCCACAGCACCTCTGCATCCCTTCCCCTTGCCCAAAGCACCTGGGCAGCCGGTGGCTCCGGGAAAAGCCCTGTAACGGTGACAGAAAGCAGAGCCAGGCGGCTGGAGCCGCCCGCGCGTGGGCAGCATCCGCGGCCGGGCCGGCGGCCAGCGGAGGTAAGTGGAAACTTCTGCCGTCCTCGTAACCCCCCTCGGCTCCTTTGGTGCGCGGCCGCGCCGGCGCTTTTCATTAAACCCCCTCGCGCGTTTCGCCGCTYGCAGCCCTTTGCTGGCTCCGCACAATGACAGAGCCGCTCTTAAAAGTCTGCTGTCGCCTCTCTGAATTAAACCCAAAGCCTCCGGGGGTTTATTTGCTGGCGGAGCCTCCTTTGTATGTGACTCGCTCCAGATCGACCCTGCGGCAACACTGAGCAGAGCCAGACCCTGCGCCGGCACCTCTGTCCTCTGCATCCTGCATCTYGCTTGGCTAGAAACAGAGGAGCAAATAAAAGAGCCTCCAAGCCGGCAAACCTGGGCATGGACCCCCACAGCCCCCCAAACCCCAGCAAGAGCTGCGGTTAAACACTCGCCTGCAAACTTCACATTCATTTTACTAAAAAGCATGGGTGATAATTTTCCCGACACCAATGGCAATGCAGTAATGGGAAGTTATAAATAACAGGGAATAAATAATACCTATCATGCCAGTCACAGCTCAGGCTTGCAGCGCAGCTATGGGGCTGCCAAGAGAAGGACAAAGTCCCCATGTGCCCAGTGGGGCCAGGACAGTGGGAGCGCACTCCGGTCGTGGCAGCTGGGAAAGGCAGTGTCCCTTCCTGAGAAAAGGGGAGGAAATTCAGGTTGAATCTAGAGGGGAATGTGCCAACATGTGGGGCTGTTGCAGGGCGGGATGGGGGAATGCACCTTGGTGGGGGTTGTCCAGCTTTTCCAACAAAGCATCTCTGGAGAGCGGGGAGGAGTTCATACAAATAAACCGGGTTTTATTTTTGCTTAAAAAAAAAAAAAAAAAAAAAAAGGCTTTTCTTTTTTTCCGCTAGGAAGTGAGAGCTTTTCATTTGAGCCCTCTTGGCCCGCTGGGGACCCTTGGCAAGAGCCAGCCCCACCGCTGGAGAGCAGGAAGCGCTGGGCTGCGGCCAAGGGCTCCCGCGGCGCTTGGCCCTCTGATCCTCATTTCTGTCAATGGGATTTGGACACTTAAAAGCTTTCGAGGAGCCTGGCCAAGGCGGCCGCGCGGCTCTCGCTGCTCCTCTCCTCCGCCCGCTCYGAAGTCTGGTCAGTGCCACGGACCCACCTCCACCAGCATCCAGCACCATCCAGGAGCAGCTCCATCCCTCCTGCCATCATCCTGCCTGTTTCCGGGATGGAATAATGGCCATATAGCCCCCAGGTACCCGGATGAGCCCGACAGTGCCCAGGAATTGCCCTGGGAAGAGACATTTGGCTCCAAGGCAGTCGGCTCCTGGCACCCCAAGCACCTCTCTCCTAGGCAGCTGGGACACAACATTCCCCACAASCTGATTTCCATTAATCTCAAAGTGCTCCGGTCTGGTTTTTATTATACTCCTTGATATCCATCCCTGTAATTTCTCCTAATGCTCCTTTCTAATCCTCCAGCCTCTTTCCCCCTTGTTAATCTCTTGCTTCGAGGTTGCCCATCCTCCCCTGTCCTTGTGCCGCTCCGTGAACGGTCCTTTCGGCACCATCCATCACCCAGGTGGCAGCAGGGGCATCCACGGCCCCATCCCGCACGGAGCTCCGGGTCCATATAAGGAAGGACCGAAGCCGGTCGCCTGCGGCGYCCGGGAAACACAATCCCTCCGCGGGACGGAGCGATGGTAAAAGAGCAAGGCAGCGAAAAGAGGCGATTTCCCTGCAAGATTCGCTCCAGCAAAGAGCCTCCATTCAGAGCYGGGCGGCTCGCGGCGGGGGGAAGAAAACCCCCTGCTCGCGACCCGGGTAATAAAGGACATAAATACGTCGGCGGCAGCAATGCCGTCGATATTTTGCTGTCGGAGGCATYGATCGGTTCCACATGCCGGGGCAGGGCTGGCTTTCTTCTCGCCCGCCTGGCTTTTGGGAACCCATTGATTGCGTTTTGTTGCTGACGGCTCAA